CAAGGAAGTGAGATTTGAGGTAGGACAAACTGTCAGATCCAATTTCATCTGAACTGAGAAGCTTGTTTTTAGAATATACTTCCTTAACTTTCCAAATATATATCTGGTTGTATCAAGGTAAACTTGAGGATTAGGAGAAGGGGCAAAGGCTTTAATTGATAAAAAATTTTAAAATGATATGAGCTTAAAAAAAAAAAAAAGCGGAGGAGGAAAGCAGAGTTGGAATTATTGAAGAAACATAGAGCATGTGTCAAAATCCATGGGGAGATAGAACTCAGCAAGACCTGCCCTGCTGGTGGGTCTGCGGCCAGCGATCCTCGGCTGTCTCCGGGCGGCATCTTTTGGGACTTTCGACAGCTGTGCTCTCGTGAGCTGTCTTAGGCAGCTGGCAGCCTCCGGCGTCCAGGGTGTATGCCTTAGTGCCAAGTGCTTAGGCACTGGTTAGGTGATCTGTTTGTTCTTCATTTCTAAAATTGCAAAGTGAATTCTGTGTTTTCTAGAGTGTTTCAGGACTGAGAAATATGAGTTGATCTACCTAGAATTTTTACCTAAAACTTTGTAAAGAATTTTACAGTGATTACTTTTAAAGTGCAAATTCTTATTTCACAAGCATATAATAATAGATGCTTCATATATTTTGTGAACTGTTGCATGATTATTATACAAATGCATATTTATATGTTATATGTCTCGATATCAGATTATATTTGGGATACTGCAGAGCATTCTGACCTGGAGGCAGGAATGAGAGAGCTGAGTTTCTCACACAGCTTAGCTATGGGACTTACTATGTGAGAGAGTTATTCACTTTGAGACCTTGAGAAAGTCACTCATCCATGAAGCGTCCCTGTCTCAGTTACCAAAATGAGGACACCACCACGAGAATGGACACAAAGTACTTGGGACAATGCATGGCACATTAATCATCTACGTGTGGGTGTAGTAAGAAAAATTAATGTTGTATTACTAGTTATAGGGTCATTGGGCTTCTAAAATGTTAGGTACTGTTTTGAAAATTTTTTGATGGAATACATTCTGTTCCATAAAATTTTTTAAAAGTCAGTGCTATTTTATTGTAGCAGAAACTTTTTTTTTTTAATTGAAAAACATCATAGTAAGCAATTCATTTGGGGGATCATGTAACTAGAACAGTCTTATAGTCTTATATGTACCAAATGAAACGACTGTGTTTTCTTAGCCAACAGTATACACTGCTGTAAGTTTATTGTGCTATGTAAAAATGCCTGGTAAGGCACACCATATACTGCACTTAGGTTTTGAAGAATCATAACATTATCACAACTTTGCAAAAACTCAGACAAATATTGATATTACATATTTATGCGTGAGTCTGTACTTGTAAAGAGGCAACATATTTCCCACTCTACTGTCCACTCTTCATGCCTTTGTGGAAAGTTACCGATTATTTCACTATTTTAATCACAATCATATTTTCTTTGTAATGAAATATATGTGCTCTTCTTTAAAATTGTAACATATATAGGTACTCATATGTATGTAAGCTTATCATTATCAGCATTCAATAACATGTACCTTCAGATCATTAGTATTTATTTAATTTTTTTAGTGTTTTCCTACAATTAACTGTGTTGTTTTCAGTTATCTTTAGTGGGTTTATATTTTTAAAAGATGAATAAGAGGCCTGGCCAGCATGGCTCAGTGGTTGAATATTGACCTATGAACCAGGAGGTAATGGTTCAATTCCTACTCGGGGCACATGCCCAGGTTGTGGGCTCCATCCCACTGGGGAGGTGCAGGAGGCAGCCGATCACTGACTCTCATCATTGATGTTTCTAGCTCTCTCTCCCTCTCTCTCCCTCTCTCTGAAATCAATAAAAACATATATATATATATATATATATATATATATTTTTTTTTTTTTTAATGACTAAGAAGGTATATAATGAAAAGTAAGCCCCTTTCCTACTCTGTCTCCAATCCCCCATTTCCCCCGGAGAGGCCATCAGCGTTAGCTTTTTCCTGTTCCAAAAACGGTTTATAAACATGTGCCTGACACAGCTCCCTTTTGCCCCACTGTGCTTACTTTTCTGCACCTTGCTTTATTCTTTCAAGAGTATATCATGCAGATTTTGTATATTTTTCTGTTTGTTTCATTTAAATACCAAAGGACTCAAAACAATTTCTTATAAAAACAAAGATTTAAAGATAAGAAATATGGGTAATTGCTTGTTCAGTAAGCTTATGTGCTGGCTTTGCTTGGTTATGGTAGAGGAAAATTTTTTATGTAATTAACAAATGACATGAATTTGAATAGGCTTGCACAAATGGTAGAACCCCAGGTGTTCAAGGTCAACACAAGGACCTTGAATTTGCAGACTTCCTGTGGAGTGCGAATTCTAAAATTAGACTACTACTTTTCAAACTCGAGGCAAGGGATAGAAACCATTTTGAATGTAGGAAAAGTATGGAGGATGACGTCACCAAAACCGCAGAGGCTCAAAGCCAACCGGCAGAATTAGCCTTTGCAGCCCCTGGGGGTTGTGTTTGTAAACCCTGAAAGGACTGCTTAACCTCTTTCAATAGAAAATAAGTTTGCCTGTAAATAGTCTTAAATATAGTAAAACATTTTAAAAGTGAGACGTCAGTAAAATGTGGATGTTTAATGTTAAGGTGTAAGAAACTGCTTCTGGGGAGTAAGATAAGTTCCATTTACCATTTTTTCTTACTCCACTGACGTGACTTTTTCAGATAAAAAAAAAAAAAGTTTAGAAAGAACACAAAAACCAGTTTAGACTCAAATAGTGGGCAATGGAATATATATTTTAAAACTAAAATATTTAATTACACATTTAATTAGAAACAGGATCAGAATAGCTGTAAAAGATGGAACACCGAGAACACTAAACAAGTTGCTGTACAGCTTACAGATGACACATGAGCCATACCCCGCGAACGCCGCACAACTTCATAGGATTTTTAAACGATGAGTGAAATTTTTTAATGCATAAATTATTTTAGAAGTTATTTCCCTGAAAAGTTACAAATGTTTAGGGATGATGTTGAACCAATTATACAAATATAAGTGTATAAAAAAAGTAATTTAGCTTTAGTTCTTGTTACCTTACAAAACACCCATTTTTACCTAGTTTCTGAAATGCGTATTAACTCTGACACAGTAGGTGTGCATGGAGGAATGGGCATTAACTCTGACGCGGTAGGTGTGCATGGAGGAATGGGCATTAACTCTGACGCGGTAGGTGTGCACGGAGGAATGGGCATTGACTCTGACGCAGTAGGTGTGCACGGAGGAATGGGCATTGACTCTGACGCAGTAGGTGTGCACGGAGGAATGGGCATTGACTCTGACGCAGTAGGTGTGCACGGAGGAATGGGCATTGACTCTGACGCAGTAGGTGTGCACGGAGGAATGGGCATTGACTCTGACGCAGTAGGTGTGCACGGAGGAATGGGCATTGACTCTGACGCAGTAGGTGTGCACGGAGGAATGGGCATTGACTCTGACGCAGTAGGTGTGCACGGAGGAATGGGCATTGACTCTGACGCAGTAGGTGTGCACGGAGGAATGGGCATTGACTCTGACGCAGTAGGTGTGCACGGAGGAATGGGCATTGACTCTGACGCAGTAGGTGTGCACGGAGGAATGGGCATTGACTCTGACGCAGTAGGTGTGCACGGAGGAATGGGCATTGACTCTGACGCAGTAGGTGTGCACGGAGGAATGGGCATTGACTCTGACGCAGTAGGTGTGCACGGAGGAATGGGCATTGACTCTGACGCAGTAGGTGTGCACGGAGGAATGGGCATTGACTCTGACGCAGTAGGTGTGCACGGAGGAATGGGCATTGACTCTGACGCAGTAGGTGTGCACGGAGGAATGGGCATTGACTCTGACGCAGTAGGTGTGCCTAGAGGAAGTCAGTATGATTCCTATTCGTCTTTAGCTGCCTGTTTAATAGCCAAACCACTAAGTCACTTTAAAAAAGAGTCTCCCTGCTACATGTACGAAGCCTTAAGAATGTCATTCCACCGTGAGGTATGTAGCTTACAGAAATAAACATGGATATGTGCAGTTTTTGACCTCCAAGCATCTTCATTACAGCATTGTTTATAATGAAATATTGCAAGCTATGAATTACCCTGAAACAAGAGATTTACCAAATAAGTTATGAGGTAGTAATATGTGACCATTAAATAATGTATTGATAAAGATCATGGAAACATACAGTGTATTCGAGCAAAAAAATTATAATGTATACTCACATTTTTCACCCCTTAAAAAGGTATACATGTACTTGAAAAATAGAACAGATAGCTGTAGATAATTAAATGATACAAGCTGATATTTCTGTATAGTGAGATTATGGGTAATTTTAATGTTATGTTTTGGAAGGCAGCTGTGCTCACTGCTATACCACCGAGGCTAATTTTCTGATTGGGGCATATGTTATCAATTACTTTCTACAATGACTTCTACCTGTTTGCTTTTCTTACAGCTCAATTTTACAGAATTTTTTTCTTTTAGTTTGTATCACTTGCTCAGAGTAAGAAGGGACCCCCCATATCCGGGAAGGACCTCACCCAGGGGAAGGGAGAGTTGGAGGCAGTGGCCCAGTATTGTGAGGCTGAGCCTGAAAGCCACAAGCTACATTTCAGACGCTCAGACTCTTCTACTGGATTCTATTTGTGGACATGGTTCATGTGTTAAATTTTGCTTTCTGATCTCTTCCTTTATGTTAGCAAGTGCTACACTTCTCTCAAACCTGAAGTGCATATTTTACTGAAATATCAGAGTAAAATGTAAATGAAAGTTATACGGGTTATGAAGAAATAGCACAGGGCGTGAAAAACAGGAGTTCCTTTCCCGGGGATCTATTTCTGTTTCTTCCTAGTCAGCCAGACCTCTCAGGTGATTCCTTCTAGATATTTTATTGCCTGCGGACTCTGTTTTGCTTAGATAAATGTTTCTAAAAGGCTCGTTTTATAACATTGCTTTTTTTAGGTATAAAGAACTGAAGGTAGTCTTTCCTGTCCAGAGATGGAAAACAGCACCACCACGATTTCTCGGGAGGAGCTGGAGGAGCTGCAGGAAGCCTTCAATAAGATAGGTACGCTTGAGAGAAACTACACGGGTGCCGCTCTTCTGTGGGTATCAGACTTCCAGGAACAGAGCAATGCCTTTATTGCTTCGACCACCACCCATGTACCCTGAGATTTATTCCTTTTTTTTCTATCTAGGTTTCACTGGATTCTTTCTGAAAGATAAACTGCTACTAGGCTTGAGTTTCTAGGACAATTGTACTTTCAATTCTTTGATCATTTCTTTGCAGAGAATAATCCAGGTTAATGAATGACAGTGTAATTGAATATGCTTAACATGATATCCTCATTACAGAGACAAAATATAGAAACACTTCCTTGTCTTCAAACTGAACTCTGGCCTCTTTGTGTTTGTCATTAACAATAATACTTTTTCACTTCATGTAGAATATTCTAAAATCTTAATATTCTTTTTAAAAGCCACATGGCTTATTTTCCAGTTCCCTCATGCATAATTTAAAAAAATTTTAGTGTTGTTTTTAAAGGTCATTATGTCCTATTTTTCTTCTTTCACTTTTTAAAGCCATTCAATGTTTTGTCTTTATAAGATTATCATTTTAATAATAATTTTTATGTTATTTCCCCCCCCCCCC